TAATTTACATCTCCCTATATCTGTAGCCTAAAAAAAGTAACTTAATTATGAAAATTAACAATTAATTGTCTGCATATTAAATTGTAATCGTTTCAAGCTCAATCTGTCAGAAATAATTGGAATACCTCGAAAGCGTGCCGAGGAGATGAAGTGACCAGAACAAACACACGCAGGATACGCAGGATTTAGAGAGATCGAGAGTTGGGGTGGAATTCTTTAGCGCTCTTTGTCTCCCATTGGACATTCTCGTGGGCATTTAAATTTTGTGAAGCAGCCATAAATTATGCGCTTTATCAGCGATAAAAGTAAATACAGTTGTTGTTACAAACACGCCTATTGGGAGGCGGCGTCCTTACCTAGTATCCACATAGCCCTACCCTCCCTAAGGCCCCATCCGCCACGCACCCGGCACCCTTATTCCCCGCAGGCTTTCCCTATTGGGTCAACTGTCCCTTGGATTGTGCATATAAAACATGGGAAAATAATTTACGAGAATGTTACAGCCTTAGAATACCCTATAACTATTAATCTATATACTTGTAGATGCATATATCTAAGAAATCCTTTTTAAGAATATATTTTAAATGATTAGTTGCATGTTTGTAAATATTTTTAAAGGAATATCCACCACAAATTAGACTTATTTATAAAAAGTCTTAGTTTTTTTTTGCTTTTCCAAAATTACATGGTATCAAAAGCAAGCAAAGATCTGAGTACGACGACGTGTAAATGAATAATTCAAAGTGTCCTGCAACGTTGTCCTGCGTCGAGCATAATGCGTAAAGCACGCAAAAGATTACACATACCAGGGCACCTGTGTGTGCGTCTGCGTGAGTATCCGTGTGTGTGTGCTGTATGTGTGTAGTTAACGGTTTATCTGAGGGGTGCCAAAAACCAGAGACGCCGTACAAAAGCAGCAAGAGCATGCGACAAATATTTAACATTGGCATATTTCTCACACACACACACACAAGCATGGACAAAAGGCCTACAGCCCCCCCCCATCCACTACAGAGAAAAAACACCTTCCCCCAGCCACGCCCACCTCGCAGCCCACCTGGCTTATGCATGTTTTATCTTGCCCACGTGGAATTTGCGTGCGTTTAAACGTTTTCGATAAGGTTTCGCTTTTAACCCGCAGACGGTCCCCCAGCCCCGAATTCACCCCGCACACACAGTGAAGCCTTGACTTGTTTATGTCTCTCAGTGTGCATCTGTGTGAGTGTGTGTATGTGTGTCTGGCATATTTGTGTGTGCGTGTTAAGACCTCAGCTGATAAAAATGCCTTTGGTTAAACATTCTCACCCTTTGACCCCTTGGGGTAGGCATGCATACCATACGATCCCGAACAAAAAAAAAAATAATAAAAATAAAAATAAACCCTATCCCAACAGCAGCGAAATATTTCCCTGTTCGGTTTGGGCACTCGAGCGTTAAAGATTTTCAAAAGATTTTGCCACATTTAATGGGGTTAAGAGGTGGCAATGGCCACTGATTGCTTGGTCAGTCTTAAAGCCTGTTTAACATCTCCATTAAGGCAAATAGTGTTGTGCTATTAAAACATGAATGTCCTTATATTTTGGATATTTATGAAATTTGTTTAAAAAATTATTAAAATAAAATCATTAAAATATGAAATGTACTGAATTTGAAACCAAATTGAAATGCTTGAGTGTGAGAGCAGTGACTACCACTTTAAAATGACCCCCTAACATCTTTTTTAATGCACACAGATATTTTTTAAAACATATTAATTTGTTTCAAATTTTTTGTTGGTTTCAAATATATATAATTTGAAAAAAATATATTATTAAAAGACTAAACAGCAATTCGTTTAGTTAAAAACCCTGCTGTCTCAACTCCTATATAAAATGTATTAAACATTTATTCCTCTTTACTTAAAAACTTTAAATATAAAGTATTGCCCCCAAAAAAATAGAGTGTGCACAGCCCAGAGCTACACATATAAGGCTCTTTAAGCAATTTTTATCGACACGGAGCTTCTGCATGGAGAGTTTCCGGCAATCCCCCCTCCGACACTCGTATCGGCCATCGGGATCAGGGGCTGTGCAACTCCGGCTTCGTGTTATTAAACGCGGATTAAGTGGCGGACCCGGACCCGGAACTACGGCGAAACCTCACCGAAAACCTCACCAGAAAACCGACCAGACGACCCCGGCCAGACTCCGTGGCTTGCATGTGCATAAATTATAATGCGACGCTTCCTGCCAAATACGCCCCTCTTTTCCGAATGGGATTGTTTGCCCCATCGCCATCGCCATCGCCTTCACATTCTCCAGCCTCGGCTCCATCTGCAGGCTCTGCTTACTTTTACATAGTCCAATTTATCGTTACTTTGTTTGGCACACAATTTTATGCTTAATATGTGTCGGCGGCACTCGCATATGGGGCTTCACACAGGAAATAATAATCGTTACCTTAAATTATAGTTTCAGAAAAACTTAGAAATATTTTTAAAAAGTTGTGGTACGAAAATGTAATACACCAAAGATGTCACATAGCATTTAAAGTAATGAATCCCTTTAAGTTTCTTTCGCAATTTTTTCCTAAGTGCATTCATGTCCACATCAATGCTGCTGGTGTCCCTCTTTCCGCTCGTCGTTTCTCGTTCCTTCTGGTCACGGCTTCTCCTATCGAAGGACATGCAATATTTAAATTGCAGCCAGGGCCGTAGCCACTCCATATCCATATCCATAACCGTATCTCGACCTGGGTATCGGGTATCTGCCACCCGAACTCGAACTGGTCTCGTTCCCCCCACTAGTTGACATGGCCCACGGCCCTGGCATTGATCGGAGCAGGAGACCAGTCCCAGTGGCAGTGGCAGTGGCTGGGAACAGAACCATAGCCGGAGTCCCGCACTGCTGCAGCTATGCAAAGTCACAACTGCATAAATTTACCAACAACTTTGCATTTATCATAAGGGGACAGGATGCACAAGCTGTAAAAGTGCACGGAAAATGTCATCTGTATTCGATTCCCTCAAAACAAGAAGTTTGCCTTGCGGCTAAACGCAGTAGAGATGTGTGTCTTGGCTCACTGAAGAGCTGGCATTATTTATTTAAGGACCAAATCGAACAAAGAATGCGAATTAAACTTAATATAAATATTTTATATTGACAAATTACTATAAATTTAATTCTTATATTTACTACTATTTAATGAATAAACCCTTATGCAGAGTGAAAATCATGAACAGCAAACAAATTACTATAAGAGAGTGCGACTTACCTCGAGTATTTATTTGTTTACACCGTTTTCCCCTTGTTACTTTGGAAAATTAATTCAATGTAAATGCAAATGAAAAGCCAATCGGATAATCAACAAGCAAATACAAATACATACATATGTCATGGGCTGGCCAGTTTTCTACTCAACCAAATCCGTTTGCTTGGCAAAAGTGCACTTCAGCCGGAGGACAGTTGGACGACGGGACAGGACCAAACACTTCAGTGGTTAAACAATGGATCCAGCCAATGGAGCTGCATAAATTTCATTCGATTCGAATGGGTTTGGTTCGGTTCGGAACGTTTTTGTTCGACTTCCCCCCACAGCAGTTGCATTGCATGTCACAAACGCTAAAACAACATGCACTTAAAAAAGCCAGATACATCACTCGGTCCCCCGTAATGGCTCTCTGTGTTGTTGAGAAAATAAACAAAATGCTTGTTGATATTTTGTGGCAGCCAATGAAGCAAACAACCTGCTGTCCATCCGTTCGTTCGTTCGTTCGTTCGTCTTGTGCGTTGTCCATGGCATCCGTTGGCCCGCAGCGAAATCGGCAAAATCAACAAGAGACCGAGTCCGAACCCGCCCGTCCGGGACACATCTGCCGCATAATTGCAAACTAAAACTGAAAATATGTGTGCCAATGGGTCGGAATTTGACTCGAATCGAAGTCCGTAGCTCAATCTAAGCTGAAATTCGAGCTGTGCGCTGAGCTATCGGATTTCAAGAGCTTCATCCTTCAAAATGTATCATCCGAATAAGAGGTAAATTCACTTAAATTCTGTTAAAATAAAAAACATCAGCTTTATATACTTGATAGCTTAGAAAAGTGTAATTTTTATAGAAAAACTGTACATGTGCACTTCATAAAAAGGTTTCTGTCCAATATATTTATGTTCAACTCCAATTTAAGTGTAGATGAAATGCATAAATAGATTCCGTAAACAAATTAGTGCCTAATGGTAACAGAAACGATAACATAGAAAGGTTGACTTAACCCTTGGAGATATGCTCTTCTTCGTTTAAGAGGAGGCCTTCATACCCACATCAAAGGAGCATATCTGAAACCACCGCCAGATTGACATCTTCCTCCGGGCTCCAATACCAATTGCCGGCATTGTTGGCGACAGATTTTAGCCGCTTGTTAGTGGCCAACAGTAACGTTCATAAATACACACAAGCCGCGGTGCCGAGAGAGCTGGGTTAGCATCGAAACCTTGTCACACGCTGGGCTACACCTTGAACCCGCGTTCGATGGATATTTTTCTGCGGGATTTCCCGCGTCTCCCGCACTTGGCAACAAAGCAACGTTTACGGCAGCCACCGCAGTGCCAGGCACAAGGTAACATCGACACATCCCACATGCCGAGCAAACCAAAACCATATAAATAAACAAAGCTCCGGCAGACCTACGTCCTGCATCCTGTGTCCCTACGCACTTTGTTGCAGAGCGAGGAGAGAGGAGGGCGGAGAACCAGAGGCAAACTGTCGAAACTGTCAGGATGTCAAATAAGCGACAGTGGGTGGCGGACAGCAGGAAGTGCGCAGGGTTCGTGTCCAGGACTGAACACGACCAGGACCAGCAGCAGGACCGGCAGCCGTATCAGGATCAGGAGCAGGACCACGACCACCCTAGGCATATTTATTGGAAATCTGAAACAGCTCGAATGACCACACTTGAGAAAATTTTCGAAGACTTGACAATAACATCAGTATGTATACAGAAAAAGTAATGTTTTACCATAGCAAAACTTTATTCAAAATTTACTTTTGTAAATCAAAATATGGAAAGCTAAATGTATTTCCCAAAATTACCAACATAAAAAGTTTACCAATATATCATACCATTAATAGTTATTATTATTACTCACACTTTATTCGAGTGCAATTTTCCCGCCCACTCCAGTGGCAGCCGCTCCTGACCATGTATCCATGTCCGGCAGAAGACACAAAGAATTTGTTACATGAAATTGTTAACTGGCTGAAGCCGATGCCTCGACTCGACTGCGTTTGATGCCTTTTGCTGATATATGGCCAACCTTTGACATCCTTTAAACGAGCAACATGATGCTCTAGATTATGGCCAAGAGATTGGCCCGACTTTTCCCCCCTGGTTTTCCCGGATTGTCTCACTTGGCCAGGGCGATACGTCAATGTGACAGTTTGATAATTTATTTTGTTCAAATTTTGTTTTTCCCTCTTCGCTGGGGGACGGCGCTTAAATAAGTTATCAGCGAGAACGAAGGCCCATATAAATGGCAGCACGTAAATGAATGAAATTATTTTGCAACAAATTAAGGCAAATTTATGCGTCAAGACGACAGGACAGGGCGGAGGGATGGGGGACTCGAGATGGGCTGGGAGCCTTGTTTTTCCCGGGGAGGTGGATTCGTGTAACAGGAAACGCAATCCACAGGCAAACAAACAAAAGCGAAAACGGAACGAAACGAAACGAAAACCGACCAACAAACAAACAAACAAACAATGAAACGAAAACGGCTTCCTCGAAGAGTGAAAAGCGAGGAGTTTTCCTTCAGCGAAATCTGAGCAAGGCTTTGTGCAACAAAGTGAGGCACCCGGACTACCCTCTTTTCGCCCATTTACCCCTCAAATGGGGGCTAACCGGGATCGCTCTGCACTCTTGAACATCGAGATACGAACATATATATATTTTTTTTATTTCCCAAGCCCCCCTACCACCGTGCTCCGAATCAAATGTCAATAGAGAGTACATTTCATTCAGTCGGGTGATGCTTTTCCCGCTTTTCCCACACCCACTTTTCACTCCCAGCATTGTAGCTGTCACAGTGTTTGTTTGCGGATTTGGAGCTTTTCCTCTTTGGCAACGGGCTTCTTTACCACGCCTCCCCCTATTCCCTTTCGACGGGTTCGTCCAGGATATAAGGAATCTGAATATAAGGATATAGAATCTAAAATATATTTACTACTTTCACTATTTTAAGTGTTTAAAATATTCAAATTAAATGTTATAAATTTCTTGTTGTAGCTAAAATTCTTAGTTTAGAGAATTTAAAATTCGTTAGGTTTTCAAGTAAACCCTAATCTGGTTTCTGCCTTGAATTCTGGTTTTATTTCCGAGCATCTCCTCGATGCTCCTCGATTTTCGCCTTCCTCCCTACCACCCACCTACTGGGATGCTCTTGCTTTGGTTTTTATTTGCACGGAAATGTATAATTTTTCCGAGTCAAATGTAAATACTTTTAGCGTATTTTGGTGGATTTCAATGGGTGGCAGCTCGTCTCATATTATTTTGTGGGTCTGAGCTTGTGGGAGGCGTGGCACATGCAAATGACACGCCTGATGCTGCGTAAATAATTTTAGCGCTCGCTCTCTCTCTTGGCATAAAATGCAAAATAAACATTTTATTTCAATGCCGGTTTGCCCTGGCGAAATTCCTTCCCAGAATGTGGGTCAAATGGTGTCCAACAAAGGCGCTTCTATCCCAAAGCCAGATGCCGCAAATACAGTTTAATTGTATACATATATATCGGATGCGGTTCCACTCAAGTCGGTGGAAATGTCACGTTTCAAGAGCTCAATTTTCGGTTTTCGCGATACCCGATGGAAAGTATCCGGATCCAATTAAATTTCCCGAAAGCCGAAATCTCGATTTGACAATTTATGCATCCTTGTGAGACATCGGTCGCATATTTATTCGCATCGAAGGCTAGACAATGACGCCTGCGGCCCAATAAATAACTCTCCCCTCTGACACAATCGAAATTGGCTGGCAAACAAATTTCGTTGGCCGAGATAAGGTCGAACTTCTCCTCGTTATTTTGGAGTCAAGTCGCGGCAAAGGTCAAACACTTAACCCGCGTTGTGGCGAAAAGAACTGACATCAAATTATGGAATGCATGGAAATCTTTGCCATAATCGAAAGCTGAGGCAGAAAATGTAAATTGAACTTCCTAAGATACTTATATGGTATGATAAGGCGAACTTTATTGACCAATCTAAGTGAAATTAGCACATGAATAATTATCAACAATTCTTAAAGAATTTATTAAATTAAATTAATTAAAGTGACACAAAACTTTAGCTCCCTATCTAGTTAGAAATCTTAATGAAAATTTGTGTAAATTATTATTTATTAATTATTAATAATATTAATACTTATGTCCCTTTCAGTCTCGAATCTAGTTGCCTTGAGTTTTGAGACTTCAATAAGCAAAATCATTTTCAAAGCTTGAATAGAAAGTCTCATTGTATACCGAGACTTACACCGGACAACATAATAGTGTTTTCACCGAAACAAAAATATTTGTGGAAAATTTGGAAAAAGTCAATCGACGCTGAGACAAATTAAAAGCTAGTGCTAATAAATTCCAACACATATTTAGAGGTTCACAAAATAATACTACCAATTATGACCTCGAAAAGGGTAACATTCGACCTGATGAACCTGGGATTCCCAGTACACACGGACCCCCTCGAGGTGGAGCGCCCATCCAGCCAGGAGTCGTTTAGAGGAACTTTTAATCCCGATGTATTACTGTCCGATAAGTTGCTTAGACAGAGGCTGGACGAGGAAGTCAAGAACATAGGTTCAGATTTCTTTCTGAGGGATCCATCAAGTTCGGATGATTCGGATGACTCTGCCTTTCCGGAGACAATATATGAGCAGGTGCGCCGCTTGTCCTTCGCCAAGCAACGGAGATTGCATTACACTGAGTTCGCTACCGTGGAATTGGCCCGGCGGCTGGTCTGCGAGGAGTTTGCCTCGGAAACCAGCAGTGTGAAGAGCGAAGACATTGCCTTCCAGCCAGAGGAAATAGGGGAGGAATGTTCACCGTGCTGGATGAATTCGCTTGAATCCTTCCCATACTTGCAGTACGAGCGAAACACAACCTTGTCGCCGGGCTCCAGCGAAAGCGCTCTCAGGGAGGATCCAGAGCCCGGCTTCGATCCGAGCCATCCCTGCTACCGAAAGCTGGTAGGGCAATTAGGTTCGGCCACAACGGGAACCACTACTCCAGGAGCCTCTAAGCTGCTGTCGAAAGTGTCGTTGGCAGATATCAACACTGACTTGCATGAGTCAATGGAGAGGCATACCCGGGTCCTAGACAAGGGCGAGAAGTGGGATCTACAACAGTCACATCCACACCAGTTAACGTTGTCGCAGCAATCTTCGAAAAGTTCCCGTCTTCACACCAACATGCAATATGATAAATCGGGGAAATCGTCCGGAAATCGATCTATGTAGTGCTGAGATACTTCAGACAAGAATATATACAAATACAAATGCCTTGTATCGGTCGGTATGCATTTGCTGCTTATGAAAGAGTTTTGTTTAATACCAATTTAAGAATATTGTTATGGTATCAGTTTAATAAACAAACAAATGTGCCAGCCATTGAACTTGTTTTGATAACTCACATTAAATACGAAATAATTTTTTTAAGCAGATTCTCTGAACAATTTATAGGTCTGGTCAGCAACTTTTTCATTTCTTAGTAGTTTTAGAGAAATATGTCGTTAAAGATGGTTAAAATCATTGATGTTTATCCAAAGTAGTTTGTTTTTATGTTCTTAGCACAATCTAGCTCATTTTAATCCCCACTATCAAAGCATCCCAACTAATTTAAACACCAAATAACCGTAATCACCTCTGATCTCAAAATGACTCCATCTAAGCGTTTTTGGCCCAGCTTAAAAAATAGTTTTCCAACCCAAAGACCGCACAATTATTTGGAGCCATAAAAGACCCAACCCATACACACAAGCTCTTGCTCATGTTAACTTAAGAGTGTGTATGTGTGTGTGTGTGTGTGGACATTCAGAAGGGTAACTAAGTGTGCAGCAAGGATAATGACACATAGTGGGTTCCTTCGCTACCCTCAAAGTGAAGAAGAAAATAGAGAACGACGTGAGTGGCGACTTAAGTATTTTATATAGTTTTTAAGCTCAATTATTTGGATTTTTAGATGCTAACATAAAATTGCTTAAGCAAGAACATAGGGACTCTTTCGAACTTGACCAATTCGCAGCCAGGATAAATAAAACTATTAATGAAATTTAAAACAAATGAACCTAATTGCTCTTTATTTGTATAACAAATTGACCAACAAAGATGGGTAACTATATAAATTTAAATTTTAATTTGCTCCATTTATACATATTTTCACTAATCAATAACCGTTCACTTTAAGGGTCAACTTGTATTTACTTTCTTCACATGAATTGCCATTGCAATTAAAAGGACAACATTTACATTTGACTCCTTTTGACATATTCAATTTCCAATGGCAAAAGTGCCACAGAGCGCAGCTGAGACAGCGTCGAGTCTTGCTAATTTAATGTTCCTCTCGGCCATGAAATGGAAATAAATATCACGTCATACGATCTGCATTGAAAATCCCCGCCTGGCTAATGAAGACTTTGTTGTCTGAGCAGGATAAAGCCGTTCCAGAATTTGTCTAGACATTCTTGGTTGCTTGAACCCCGACTTGTGGTTGCAGTCTCAGCTGCCAGGCGTCTCAAGTTCAAAGTCAGAGCGGAGAGATTTCAATCCGTACTTTAGCACATTGCGGGTACTTTTATGACATTTAATTGCCGTTTGCTTTTAGTCCACATACCATACTATAAGGACTTCGGGCAATCCTAAGCAGAGACCTTGGGCAGGATTGAAAGGAAGGGGAACTTAAGTAAATTTAATATTTATTTAAAGGACTGTAGAAAGCAAATATACAAGAAACTTGCTTGCTTAAATATATAAGCTTATAGATATCTTCATTTGAAATTTGTTGACTATAACTTGAATTCAAATTTTCATTAAATTGTATTTTTCATTACTTAGCTTGATAGATATGTTAATGTATATTTATCTAAAAATTCCACCACCTGATTGTTATTGTCCTTAAATTAATTTAATCAAGAGTATCTCTTAGCGCATCCATTAACTTTTCTCCATTTAATGTGCGTTATTTTTTTCGGTGGCACACAAAGTGGCTTGTCATGCCGACGAATCAGGGCGAGTGGCTTGCAAGTGCCTCGTCCTAATCATCATCCAAACATTGTGGCCAGTCATCGTGACTTATGTCAACCCTATCAAGTGTGTCCTTGTTCGCCTTGTGTTTGTTTGTATGGGTGTTTGAGAATGACAAGTCCACTGTCCAGTGCATTCTGCGTGGTTTAAAGGGACTTGAAGGGGTTGTACATCGAGAGCAGCATAATTATCATAGGCAATCGAAATTTCTAGCGATTGGTAATCGTTAATCAAGATATCATCCAAAACGTAAGCAATCCTTATATCGATTAAAAATCCAACAATTAAATTCTAAAACTCCAAAGTATGCTAGACCGATTGATTGATTGATTTCTGCCATTTGGTGACACCTATGAGACAGTTTACCCTTTTGACCAACCGCCATCGAGCGTGAAGCTGTCAAAACGTGGTCTGTCGCCGAAATTGGAGATGGAACTAAAAGGTATCCATAAAATATGACTTTAATCGGGGGTCACGTGCCATGAGTGTTGACCCCAGGAGGAAACCGAAAATCATAACTCAATGTCGAGCTAACCAAGTGCAAAGCGCGAAATTAGTTTACACTTGAACCCTGGGCCACGTGTCCTGACGTGCCAGCACCTCGCCTGCTCGCCCCCCCTTACTTGCACTGCCTTTTCCCCCATTTTCCCCATATTTTTCACCCACTCCGTTTGCCTTCTTTTTGCTGCAGTTGCAGTTGCAGTGGCATTCGTGTTCATGCATAAACAAAATGGCTGCTGCAACAACCGGAAACTGACAGCAAACGACATTTGCGATATGCATCATATGTCTCCCACTCTGTACCTCCCCTCCAACCTCGCCCAGCTCTTATTTTTCGCTGTCATTTTCGGGTGGGCGGGGGTGTAGGCGAGTCAGCTACTTGGCATATTTCTGTCGTGTCATTGTTTCTCGTGCGTCTTTTTTGCAGCAGCAGGCCCACCTCCTCGCTGAGCTGGCAAGCTCCTCGCTCAGCTCCCCGCTCGCTGTCTGCGACTGTTAGCCTTGCAGGTGCAATTATGACGGCGCCATCGCATCGGTGTCTCTCACGGAAAATGGGCTGGCGTTTGGGGTGGAAAAATGACAGACAGTGGGTATATATGCGAGTGTGTGGCAGTGTCAGCGACACATAAACATTACATCATCAGGTAACTTTTTGCAACTGTCATAAAATGCCAGGAACAGCAAACAGAAACTGACTCACATACGTCCCTCTCTGAGATGCTTGAATACCCTTTAACATTTTTCTGAAAGTCAAAATCAAAACATTTTAATTTTTTGAAAAACTATCATTTTTTTCAATGCTTTTCAAGTGCATTATTTAAATAAATTGTTCAAGTTATACCCAAAGGTTTTTTTAATTATTCTTCAGGAATCCTACCTGGTGATTAGTTAGAAATAGTTTCCTTAAATCTAAAATAATCGTAAACTTAAGAATGCTCCTTTTTGGATAAACAATATCCTTATAGAGCATGAAGTGGGCATTAAACAAGAAAGAAAGCTAACTTTGACCAGCCAAAATTTGTATACCCTTGCAGGTAACAATTAAAATATATCATAACTAAGCCAAAAATGCATTAATTTCGATTCGTAAAGCAGTTTTGGGTTAGTTTTTATTAATTTAAAAAAACTGCATACCAAATTTAAAATTTTAAGAAATCAAAATTTTTGGCCATTTTTGCTAATTTTAATGATGTTACCCCTTATCAAATTTCGCAAAAATGGCCAAAAAATCGTTTTCTTCCGGACATGTCTAGAAAGATTTGCCTGTTAATGCTGATCAAGAATATATATGGTTTATGGGGTCGGAAATGATTCCTTGACTTAGAAAAATATTATTTTGTATTATAAAATCGGATTTTTTATATTAAAAAACTTCTTGATTTTTTTAAAATTAAAAATATCATAACTCGGCCAAAAGAGCATTAATTTTAAATAGGAAAACTGTTCTGTGCTAGATTTTCTACAGTTAATAAATCTGCATACTTCATTTAAATTTTAAATTTTGAAAATTCAATTTTTTATCAGAATCAAAAATTTTAATGATGTAACCCCTTATAAAATTTTGCAAAAATGGCCAAAAAATCGATTTCTTCCTGACATATCTAGAAAGATTCCCCTGTTGATGCTGATCAAGAATATATGTATATACTTTATAGGGTCGGAAACGTCGCCTTCACTGCGTTGCAAACTTCTGACTGAAATTAAAATACCCTGCAAGGGTATAAAAATAGGCAGACAAAAAGAAGAACAAGAACTTGTAAAAAAAGAAGAACACGGAAACAAATGAATGCTGAATAAAACAACGAAAGCAAGAAGAGTAGAGTACACATATCCTGTTCTAGCTAGGACTAAAGTGAACCCTCCCATGAAAAAATCTCGAAAATTTTTTAACATTTTATACCTTAAGCCAAGCAAACAATTATTTCGATTTATGTTCAGTTTTTTGTTTAAAAATACTTCTTAACTAGTTACAGAAAGGTAATTATTTTATTTGTTTATTTATGTTTATGATAAAAAATATATAAAATTAGTTTTCAGATCATTGTACTATGGCAGGACCACTACCCTGTTGTCCCAAATTTCTATGCCTTCTTTTGGCGCTTCCACTGCCGCTGTTGCTGCATTTCCGGCTGCTGCTTCTGCTAAGCCGGCATGCTAAATCCTTAAACCACCACCCACTAGCCCTGCCGCCCACCGCCCGCCGCCATGTCATGGCTCTAATGAGCTGTGTGTGTGTGTGTGTGTGTGTTTGTTGCATTGTTGTTGACGTTTCAGCTGGCATATGATGCTTGTTAGTGAGTTTTTCTCGGAGCTGTTCCTGCCGTTGTTGTCTTTGTTGTGTTGCTTCTTTCGCTGTTATCCTTGCTGCATATGGGTGTGTGTGATCCCCCGGTCTGGGTTGAAATATTTTCATGAGTTTTGACAGTAATGTGTCGCAATGTTTGTCCCAATGTCTTTTTCTTCCCCTGTCAGCAACGACATCTAGAAAGCCAGGAAATGGCAAAAAACATGCGGGATGCTTTCATTTTTAATTCTCTAGTTAACCTTATTTATATTCTAAAAATATTTGTTAGGCTCTAGCTGTCTTTAATCTGGTTTAGCTATTTAAATAAAAGTAAAAATTTAGGTTTATTTATTTCCGAAATCTCCTGAAATATGTGAAAGCAGGAACACACTCCGAAATACAGATGGAGCTAGCAGAGCAGATAGGAGACAGG